TTCTTTCTAGTAATAAAAGTTAATGTTAATGTAAGAGGAATTCATTTCACACAAAAAAAGAGAATGAGGTAGTAAAAAAGGGAAATATTATGACAGTAGTTTGAATAATGTGAGTTACAGTACAGTGTGCATTGGGTGCTCTCTCTCTCTAAAGTCTATCATCTTCAGAGTCACTACTGGATACATCATCCCACTGTGTCAATGGAGCATATTTGTTTGATGACACTACTTTGAGGTTTCTTCAGCCAGCAAAAACGTAATAAATGACTTTGAAGACAACAAGGAAGAACCCAAGCCATCCTATAGAGTATGACCATCCTTGACTGGCTCCTTTGTTAGACTTCAATTCTTTGGTGTACACCAATAGACCAATGAACTACAGGAAAGCTATAGAAATACATAATGTAATGTATAGGTGAAGGAATTAAGCACTAGGAATAGTTACATGTGGCTAGCTTTATCAAGGATTGAGCTATCAGTGCTACCATACCAACAGCCCAGCCAATCAATCCTGACATTAATGACATACACAATATTGCTCTTACACCAATAACCAGCACCTGTGAGTCAGTAAAGTACATACAATAAATAAAAGAATATACATAAAGCAGGGATATAATATACTAACGTGAGTATAATAAATCCCTGACATAAAGTGACCATTACAATCAGCACTAGTAGTAACTATGTAGTAGTGAGTGAGTTGGTCAAAGTAAAAGGTACAAATTACTGGTATAGCATTTTATTTTTATAATGTCCTGTATTTTGGTGGCCATTAGTTTACCATGACTGTTATTCCACAAAAATCATCAAATTTTTCAACTATAAAGTTTTGGAGCTACACATGCAGTAATCAGCCATTAGCAAAATATATTAAAGGCATTAAAATCTTTTTAAGTCTCTATTAATTGTTATAATTTAGATTGAAGAATAATCATACATACATGTAACTAGAGTTACTATATATATAGTAGACCGACCCACTAGCCAATTCATGTACATTAACCTGATGGGTTTGATAGACCTTGACACTTTGTATTACTATACAGTTCTGCCACAGACCCATATGACCATTCTCCCCCTAATAACAAGACACTCATTTGAAATCCTAGCAACTAGATTCCAGTAACTCACCAGGTCCAGCCAATATTAAGGGCTACCAAAGCTAATAAT